ATTAATCGGCCATATGTCACCATGCAAAGCTGCCGATGAGCCCCAGGCAGACAGATAACTAACTCCGCATCTCATTCACTTATCCCAGCAAGCCAGCCAGGCAGCGCAGATAATCATATTAATCTTCCCCGAGCCATTAGATCACAATCACAGGGCCGGCGGAGGGAGGACAATCCATCACTTCACAAATAGCCTTCATCGGTCACTGTACACCCAACCCGCTCGGCGGGGGCTACGTGGGGGCCCGTTTAGTAAAGGGGCCGAATGAATTATTATAGAGGAGACGTTCTGGGCCATTGACCTGCTCATTTCACCTTCTTACATCGGAAAGTATCCCAGCCATCGCTGTAGGGCAGGTGCCAGCTCCAATTCATAGACCTTTTCTCCAATTTTGTACTGGAAATTTTGGCAAGAATTTTTGTAGATGCCGCAATTCGGCGCGGCGGCTTTCTGTGTCAGGCCGGAAGTAGAATTAAACTGGAACTTTTTTTTTTAGAGAAACAGAGCACAGTGTAGAATGTAAAGCAATCATTTAGCCTAACATTCCATTGTAAGAGGGACTTCACTGATGCTCATGAGTCATTTAAAGCCAAATGCACCCTTTAAAACCACCAAAAAAAACACTTTGCATTCACCTTCACTATTGACTCCAATGGATTTTAGCCAAAATAGCACCCCAAAACTTCCCTAGTAATGAGCAAGTTTGGCTGCCCCTGCCCCTACGTACATAAATATATATAAAGCCCACCTCTGGGCCAAGCTCTACCCCCCTCCCACCACTTCCATCCATTTACCAGTCACTACAATGATACATAACTTCAGAAGAGTTTGTTATACTCGCCTAACTCCCTGGAGTGAGGACCGGTCAGTCCAGCGCTGCAGTCTATGTCCATGCTCGCCGCTCACCTTTTAGTGATGTCATCACTCCCGGAGCTTGAAAGGACCCTGCCACTGGAAAGCCAACAAACAGTGTCCATGTCAATGTGGAAACCCAACGAAGAACCCTTCTACCCTGCTAGGAAGAAGATAACCCATAGAGAAGGGCATGCAAGTGCTTTGAGCTGATCTTTTTTTACATGTATATCTGATGAAGTCTTTGTAAATACTTCACATGTGCCTCCATATACACGGCTCCTTACTTGTCTCTCTTTCCCATGCGCAGAACATTCCGACCCTGGGCAGCGTGGCGATTACGATGGCACTTCACAACTGTGACGAGGTGGCCGTGGCCGGGTTTGGCTATGACATGAATCTCCCTAACGCCCCTCTGCATTACTACGAAACAATCAAGATGGCTGCCATTAAAGAGGTAACAAAAGGAGGGCCAGATATTGCAATCATCGCCTGTTATTACCGGACCGTGCGTTGCCGCCGCGAGGCAGGCGGCGGCGAGGGGGAGCTTTGTAGCGGACTTTTCTGATAAAACTTCCATCACAGAAAGAAGCCTATCTATAAAACACGGGGGTTAACTCTGTCATGGAGTTCGTTGGACTTGTTGTGTCACCAGGGGGGAAGGGGCAACTAACAGGCAGGACAGGGGTGGTGTCCACAGTCAGATAGTTGCAAAGTCAGCAGGCTGATGGTCAGATCGGGTGCAGACTGATCCAGACGGGCAGACAGAGCACAGGCTGATAGAGCGGGTGCAGACTGATCCAGACGGGCAGACAGAGCACAGGCTGATAGAGCGGGTGCAGACTGATCCGGACGGGCAGACAGAACACAGGCTGATGGTCAGATCGGGTGCAGACTGATCCGGACGGGCAGACAGAGCACAGGCTGATAGAGCGGGTGCAGACTGATCTAGACGGGCAGACAGAGCACAGGCTGATAGAGCGGGTGCAGACTGATCCAGACGGGCAGACAGAGCACAGGCTGATAGAGCGGGTGCAGACTGATCCAGACGGGCAGACAGAGCACAGGCTGATAGAGCTGTGCAGACTGATCCAGACGGGCAGACAGAACACAGGCTGACAGTAGCCGAGGTAACAGCCTGAGGATCAGGGTGAGCACACTGCAAATGCAATCCAAGCAATTGACAGAAATAATCCAGGGCGTGAACAGTCAGACAAACTTGAATCCAGGCCATGAGCAGACAACCTACCACCACCCTGTTCATCAGGCTCAGGCTGAATGCCCAGCAGTCTAGTTGAGCAATGCTGATTAGGGCGAGTGTGCACTGAGCTTTAATGATCAGTAGACGGTGAAGGCTCCATTTGCATTTCAGTCAGTTTTATTTATTTATTACAGGTGTTTATATAACGCCGACAATTTACGCAGCACTTTACATACTACACATTCACATCAGTCCCCGCCCTCAAGGGGCTTACAATCTAATGTTCCTATCTCACATACATACATAGAGGGCCAATTTTCTTTTTTTTTTAGAGAGGAGCCAATTAACCTTCCAGCGTGTCTTTGGAGTGTGGGAGGAAACCGGAGTACCCGGAGGAAACCCACACAGCACAGGGAGGACATGCAAACTCCATGCAGAGAGTGTCCTGGCCGGAATTTGACCCCAAGGGACTCCCAGTGCTGCAAGAAAGCTTTGGGGGAGGGTAGGATTGGTAAGGCCATAAACCCCGGAATCCTACTGTTGGTGTTATTGTCCAATCATCTAGTAGTGGTGTTTATAAGGGGTGTCTGGATTTTGGGATGGCCTCTTCTACACACCAAAGGATTCCCACAGTTACCTTGGATCTATAAATGGATCTGAGATTGAAGCGTCGCACCACGAGTTAATAGTCCAGATACAAATCTATTCCAATGTAAAATCAGGTGAAAGAAGCCAACGCGTTTCCAGGGCCAATACTCACCACTTCATCAATAGGAAACAATGTATACACTATATTAGCCACAGGCTGTGCAAATAACTGCTGGCAAACACTGGGGTTTCATCACTCAACTGGTTACTATACCATATACATTGTATCATCAGTCTGTATACATTGTATCATCAGTCTGTGTACATTGTTTCCTATTAAAGCTGTGATGAAGGGGCGAGTATTGGCCCTGGAAACGCGTTGGATTCTTTGTATAGTCTTTCACCTGATTTTACATTGTAATAGATTTGTATCCGGACTCATAACTCGTGTTGTGGCTCTTTAATCTCGGATCCATTTACTAACAATGGAAAGCTGGCGATGGTTCTAAACGCCTCTCACCCCTCCATCCAAATATAGAAGAAACTCTTGGCTTGTAGTTGGGCTTTTGGGAAGTAATTTATATGATATTATACAGGTTTTCCTCTACCCCGGTTCACCTCTCTACATTCTTCAGAGCCCCCCCCCC